GCCTTCGATAACAGTTACGACGAGGTAGTCCTCTATGGAAACGGCACTATCAACTGGGACGCCACGTACATGTTCGCATATCAGGCACTGGGAGAGATGACCCAGATCGGAAAGTACATCACCAAGGGCTTCTACGGCAACAGCAAGCTCTACACCTACTACGAGGGTTGCTCCGATGGAGGACGTGAGGGTATGAGCCAAGTTCAGCGCTGGGGTGAGGAGTACGACGGTGTGATCACTGGTGCCCCGGCCTTCCGTTTCGCTCAGCAACAGGTCCACCATGTGTTCTCGTCCGAAGTGGAACAGACCCTGGACTACTACCCGCCTCCATGTGAGCTGAAGAAGATCGTGAACGCAACCATTGCTGCTTGCGACCCGCTTGATGGAAGAACCGACGGTGTCGTGTCCCGGACGGATCTCTGCAAGCTCCACTTTAATTTGACCTCCATCATCGGTGAGCCGTATCACTGTGATGCGGAGACGAGCACCTCTCTTGGTTTCGGCTTCAGCAATGGCAAGCGCAGCAATGTCAAGCGCCAGGCCCAGGGCAGCACCACCAGCTACCAGCCCGCCCAGAACGGCACGGTTACCGCACGCGGTGTAGCTGTCGCCCAGGCCATCTACGATGGTCTCCATAACAGCAAGGGCGAGCGTGCGTACCTCTCCTGGCAGATTGCCTCCGAGCTGAGCGATGCTGAGACCGAGTACAACTCTGACACTGGCAAGTGGGAGCTCAGCATCCCGTCGACCGGTGGTGAGTACGTCACCAAGTTCATTCAGCTCCTAAACCTCGACAACCTTTCGGATCTGAACAACGTCACTTATGACACCCTGGTGGGCTGGATGAACACCGGTATGGTGCGCTACATGGACAGCCTCCAGACCACCCTCCCGGATCTGACTCCCTTCCAATCGTCCGGCGGAAAGTTGCTGCACTACCACGGTGAATCCGATCCCAGTATCCCCGCTGCCTCCTCCGTCCACTACTGGCAGGCAGTTATGTCCGTCATGTACGGCGACAAGACGGAAGAGGAGGCCCTGCAGGCCCTCGAGGACTGGTACCAGTTCTACCTGATCCCTGGTGCCGCCCACTGCGGAACCAACTCTCTCCAGCCTGGACCTTACCCTGAGAACAACATGGAGATCATGATCAACTGGGTCGAGAACGGCAACAAGCCATCCCGTCTCAATGCCACCGTTTCCTCGGGTACCTACGCTGGCGAGACCCAAATGCTTTGCCAGTGGCCCAAGCGTCCTCTCTGGCGCGGCAACTCCACCTTCGACTGTGTCAACGATGAGAAGTCGATTGACAGCTGGACCTACGAGTTCCCCGCTTTCAAGGTCCCTGTATACTAGTGTGTTTGCGTGATTACTACTTGCCACTCATCTTCTATGCCGAGTGACGAGATTTACGAATCCGGTGACTTCTAAGTGAAGTTAATCTTCCCGACTTTCATTCTTCATTTCATGCTTCCTGAGCACCTGGCTCTTTTATCTATACATTTTGAGTATTAAACCCCCGGTTTGAGTGTACATACGCAAACTGAGGTCAACCGAGACAAATATAAAATCTCTTTCTTCCAAGCAACCTTCCACCGAGCTTGTACATGGATAATCACACAAGACCAATATCACAGCGAACACTACTTCACCATAACTCTACATAAAAAGCCCATCAGCCGACAACAAACTCTCAATCTTAATGATAATTTCTTATATCTAGACATTACATACAAAACCCACCTCCCAAACCCACCTCAAAACCCCAAAAACCCCCTCTTCCTCCCCTTAGTAGACCTGGACCTGGACCGTCTCGAAATGGCCGAATTCCTCGTATTGACACGATCTATGTCATACGGATTAGCCTCATAACTCGCCGTCTCATCCCGCACAGTCGACAGTGAGCTCCTACCCCCAGACTCCACCCTCTCCAAGTCCTGTCCCTCATCAGCACTCCCCCTCCCCTCGGCCTGAACCCTAACCTCCTCATCAACAACTTTCTTCTTCTTCTTCTTCTTCTCCTCCTCCTCCTCCTCCGGAGAGACTGTCTTCTCCGCCAACCGCCTCATGAAATCATCCGCCTCAGCAGCATATTTACACTTCCTCCGTATAACAGCCCCATACTTATAGAAAACAAACGGAAAAGGTACACAAGCAAGGGCCAAAAAGGCAGGAATGCAGGACGCCCAATGGACGCCCAGGTTGCGATACATGTAGGAGGTGAATAGGGGGAAGCCGGCACCGAAACAGGACCTGATGATGGAGTTTGCGGCGAGCACGCTGGCCGCGTAGATCGTGTAGGCGTCGATAAGGTAGGACATGATATTGAGGAAGACGAGGACCATGCCGAAGCCGAAGGGGGCTGCTGCAATGATACTGACGATCCAGTGGACGGGGGCCGCGTTGGTCCAGGCGAACCAGAAGAGGCCGATGGGGATGGCGACACTGCCGATCATGGTGGGTGGGAGGCGGGCCTCAGGGGGCGCGAAGCCGTGGTGGGCTTTGTGGACTGCGACGTAGCGTTTGTTGTCGTACATGTTTAGGGCGACGGCGAGCATCATGCCGATCATGACGCCGAGGAAGGGGAGCGAGCCGACGCCCTCGGTCCAGCCGCGGAGCTGTTGGAAGACGATTGGGAAGGCGTCGAAGAGCATGTAGAGGGTGCCGTAGACGATGGCCATGTAGGTTGAGAGGAGGAGGACGATGGGCTCGGCGAAGAGGAGGATCCAGGGGCGCAGGAGGGCGGCGCCGAAGGCGCTCGTCATGGTCACTTTGCCACGTTCGAGCTCGAGTTTGCTCCGGTGGACTTTGCCGGTGAGCGCTGTGAGGCGGGCGGCGCGTTTACGGAGAAGTAGCGGAGCGTAGGTTTCGGGCACGAGGAGCGATTCCACGATCCAGATGAGGCCGGTGAAGGTTGCGAGGAAGCCTTGTACCCAACGCCAGCCGGCGTTTTCGCCGAGGAAGCCGCCGATTACGGGGCCTAGAGTTGGACCTTTGGTCTTTTGGTCAGTTGGGGTCGACGATGGTGTGTGGTGGTGGTGTACCTACCTAGGAACGGCGCGCCGGCGAATAAACTTGTTGCTAGACCTCGTTCTTCTGCCGGGAAGATATCGGCGATGACGCCTCCGGCGTTTGTTAATGGTGAAGATCCGAACGAGCCAGCGAAGAAGCGCAGAATGATCAACGTCCAGCTATTTTGTGCACCGGCGGCGCCGGCACAGAAGAATGCAAGAGCACCATATGAGATGAGAAAAACGATCTGGCGACCGACCAGTTCACTCAGAGGCGCCCATACTAATGGGCCAACTGCAAAGCCTAGGACGAACAGCGACACACCCAGCGTCGCCACTTCCTCGCCGATACCGAAATGTTTGATGACTTCCTGGATGCCTCCTGCATAAGCAGAGGAGGAAAGCGAGACGCCGAATGTGGCGAAAGCAACGGTGATGGTGTAGGCCCATTTCAGGGACTTGTTGAGCAACATCGGGTTGCGGGGATCATTAGGGATCCATTCCACAATGTAAGGGTCATCATCTGTGCCGGAGCCCTTATAGGGGTAGTCAATTATTTCGGGCGTGACAACGCCTTGGTCGGTGAGTAGGCGCCAATATGGGATTTCGTGGGGCCGAGGGGCTTCATGGATATAGTCTTCGGAAGTCATTCCAAGGGGCTTGTGTGGATATAGTTATACTATTGTTCATACTGTGCGATGAACAAAAAAAATGTAAGTGGGATGGACAAGGATCGAAAATGAACTTTTTATATACACAACACCGTTGCTGACACCATGAGATCAAAATCTGCGAGATGATAACATCTACAGATCAGATACTAAAACAGATACTAAAAGAAAAGTATGACGAATTGCAACACCATTGGCTTAGAAAGCTGTATACATCGGGTGGTCGCTCCACTTGGGTGATCCTGCAGCCCGCTTTGGTCCACTGGCTGTCGACTCGGCTTGTACTTCGGCAAGCCGAATTGCATGATCCCGTTCAAATCGGTACCGAGGTTCGGCTACGGGATTGGACGCAGTAGCCGTGTTTCCTAGACAGTTGACTGTGGTTCTAGAACGATTACGGGGGCTTGGGATATACATGGCATATAGTTAAAATAAGGTTAAATCGAGCTGGAACGTTATTGGGAATCTGTTTGCCTATAGGGCAACTGAGCCACTCCACTGTCGCGTTCCATGATCATTTTCCGTTATCAGAGTGCATATATATATATACATGTTAGCAAGTGGATACATTGCGAATTATACCCAGACTTGTACATACTTTGGGAATACTGCCACTGTCTCGTGAGAGGTATATAGTCTGTTCTCCCACGTCGAGAACAGATTATGGCGTGTCTTTAGGTCAAGGGAGGATTGGGTTTGGCCATATTTGCTAGCAAGATACAAACGATGCGCGCAAAAATGGATGGAAGTAGAGGTAGCAGAAGCAAAAAATATGGTCCCGGAGAGGCTCGAACTCTCGACTTCTGAGTTATTAGCTCAGCACTCTAACCGACTGAGTTACGGGACCACTTGTTGAAAAATTCGGCCCAATAATTGCTTACTAGTTCCAAGGTTGGCGCGCCCACTTAATGTTGCCAACCAAAGCTCTTATCAGCGGAGACTTTGTACGTTCCGCACTTCAAACCCTCAATATCCTTGACAAGCGCTAATGGCTCCTAGTGCCAGATCCATTCTTTTTATATTTATACACCTCTATACTGAATCTATATAGCGTTCGCATTCACAAGGTCTAGAGCCTCTTCGGATGTAAACGGGCCCGTATAAAATCTAGTGGTGGATGTGGTTGGAGAGCTTTCCTATATTCTTCTGTACACCCAACATGGGCCAAAAGGATAAGGCCTACACCTATTCCATTTGACGTAGAGAGATCCTGGGCATGCATGAGCCATGCAGGTCAGAATAATACCATATCCAGCAACGCTACTGGACCACCGTAGGTTATTTGCGAAGTCATAGGAGGTCGCTTGCAGGACACCGACTAATTCCCGTTCAATGTACTGACGTGACCACCCTGTGCCAGCCGAGAAGTACCACAATACAACGTTGAGAACTCACCAAGGATTTGAAAGCCCGCCTTTAGAAAGACATTCAAGTCCAGGTAACTTCCAGCCTAAGAGTTTGTCAGTTTAAACACTGTCCTAAAAGATCGTAAACCGAGGCCTTACTAAACGACTCTCAACGTTGATAATTCCACGATATCTACACCGCACAATGGCCATGGCAAGAAGGTAAGAGAGGACGTGTGAAACTTCTGTGGTTGGGTCTATTAGAATGCCCGCTAACTCTGCATCATTTGGACCCAAAGTGGGAAAGTATTTGGCTGGTAGAGACTGGCGGCTGCATAATAACGCCGAGGCCACCACAGCTTTACTGGCCGAGTTTCGGACGATCAATACATCGACACCGTTGGATGCCTGAAACGCATTGTGGTACATCTTTTGCACTACCTCAGGGGACAAGAGAGTGCTGTTGTTCTGGATATACGGTTCCAGGCACCTCGTGCTGTAACTGGTGATATCGAACTCTCTCTCGTTAGTCAAGATCTCGAATGTCCACCGGTTGGAGTTTGAATTCATTAATGGGGCAAGAGCCATCAATTCTGAGATCTTTAGAATATAAGTTTGCCTTTTGATTGCTTCTTCCCACCCTCTTAGATTAAAATCAGCCGTTGTTTTCTTGATAGAGGGAAAAGAAGCAGTCCAGGAGAGCCTTACTGGTTCAACATCCAGTTCATCAGGATAGATGGCCCTGCGACCTTTCTGGCGTAAGTAGAGGTGCCAGGCACCATGGCCGGCATATCAGAACCCAGCTGAATATCCCGAGGATTATATTGTTGGACCAAGCGTGTGACTGCCCGTTGATACAGGGAACGTCCGATCCCTTGGTTTCTTTTTTCTGGATCTACCGCCAGAAATGCAATGGCCGCTCGTGCAATGGCTTCCACATAAGATGTGATGCAAACACCATAAATTACATGGGTGCTCGTATTTTTGACCAAAAGGATCATCGAATCAGGACTATTCAATGTCTCTTGTAGCAGATAGTGCACATTTTCATGTGTCATGTTTGCCCATGGGCGCCAGATATCATTGACTCTGCATAGAAATCTGATGATTCCGTCCATGTCCCGTCTGGGGTCCCACTGTTGTACTAACCAGCCTAACGAATCTTTGCGTTCTGGGGTGTCATTGCTGAGATCAATCACAGGTGAGTGCCCTGGAGGAACTCCCACAGGGCGGATATAGCCAAGTAATACTCTCACCAAGGAACAGAGGGCGAGATGAGTGTAGTCATATGTGCAAATATAGGTTGGGATCTGGAGCACATTCAGAAAGTCATATGGGGAGCTGGTGGCTACCACGATGAATTGCTTCGGGTTGCTCGAAATGTCACACAACATCCCAACATGTTTTGTGAAGCCGTATTGATATGAGTTGCGACTCACATCCGCCGTCACTGCAATTACGACCTGGGCTCGGGAAACCAAGTCCTCGTGGTAGGGGCGGATGCCACTGGCGGCATATGAGGTATGCACGATTTTGCCCTCCCAGTGTTTTGCAAGTAGAAGTCCAAGCTCCCGAAAAGTTAGTTCGCCTTCCATATATTGTTTTTGGCCAGTGCTAGATTCCGTTTCCTTTATATGTTCTCCCATATTGCTGAGAGATGATAGAGGCTCGAGTAATGGAGTAAGAAGCAATAGCTCAAGGGGTTGACTGGTAGTGGATCGGATTGGTAATACTGATTTGGTATCTCGAACCACAGTAATGGACGATTCATACGCAGACCGAGCTAGTTTGGAGTGTGATAAAGCCAGGGTGGATAAGCCCGACGTTCCACTAGGCTTGAGCGCGGTAGACCAGGATGTACAGCGCCGTCTCATCTTCGAAATTCTTTGTGCAGAGTCTCGAACTTGCATCTCGGAGAGGATACCATTCTCAAGCGCAGTTTGAACACCTTCTATAGCTTCAAGCTGGTTCATGAACGAGTGACATACCATCAGCATGTCACAGCCAGCCGACAGAGCCATAATGGCGGCTTGCCCGAACCCTAGACTTTCATGGAGTGACTCAACCTCGAGACACTCACTGACAATGACTCCAGGAAAGCGCAGTCGCTGCCGGAGGATATTGCTTACGACCGTCTCCGAAAGACAGGCATGTTTCACATCCAAACCTTCTCTGATGTTGGGCATGGCACAGGCACCAACCATGATGGAGTCGACACCTTCCTGAATGGCACTCTGGAACGGCATAAATGCTTTTCGAGTTAATTCTTCCATGGTATCCGGCACACATGGGATATCTGCGCCAGTATCATCTACCTGTACGTTGCCGTAGCTGGGGAAGTGTTTCCCACAGGTGGCTACACCTCCATCATGATACCCTGCGATGAAATCGGCGCCAAAACGTGAAACAGCACTGGGATCTTCATCCATCATGCGCACTCCTAATGGGTGCGCACTAGGGTTCGACACTACATCCAACACAGGGCCTAATATCCAGTTGACCCCTAAGCATTTCATTTCCTTTGCCGTGGCCGTGGCAATAAGTTTGGCTCTATCACGGTCGTTGCCGGCCACCACACCCATGGCAGAGGGGAACTGTCGAATGTCATCGTCTGCTGCAATGGTATTACAACCTCCATTTTCTTGGTCAATTGCAATTAATAATGGATGTTCGTGCCCAGCTTCGTACGCCGTGTACTGAAGATCTGAGATAAGCTATCCAAACAGGTGTCAGCTATTGCACACTGGGATCCACTGGTTCAAGCAGCTAAAGTTACCTTGGTTACCTGTGCAGCACCTATCATCGGTGACCCGGACGCAATTTAAAGTCATGATTGTGATTGGGGCTGCTCCTCACTGGTCAAATTCTTGGGGGTAATGAGAATGGCGCCAATATAGTGGTCCTTTATCAAACGACATATATTCGGTGATATTTCGGTCCCGTCGAAGCCAGCGATGAACAAGCTACCGACAATCCTGAGGAACCAATTCAATTTCTTATCCAACAGGCAGGGGTAAGGGCTGCTGACCGTGCGATATCTGGTGGGATGGCTGGATGAGACATGACACCCAGCATTCTACTATGGAGAAAGCTGTTGGTCCTCGACTCCAACCGTGACTACCCTGCCTAACTATGCGTAATAGGAGTGTAACCTAACCAAACGTAAGGGTAGCAGGCATCCTCCTGCACTCCAAATGAACTCGTTGGCCATTGTGAAAAAATCCTTCCCAGGTAAATCTTAATGAAGAGACACAACAGGCGTCCGGGGTTTGGGGTGGGGAAAATGTCACCCGAGTGGGCCTCCAAAGTGAAGTGGATACATGTTACTTCTTTTGATGTCACCGGGTGGCTAGTTTTTCTCTCTATTTGCTTTCTGTTCGTTGGACCATTATTCGACAACCACCATCTGTGCTCATGGCGTGTGGATCCTGTGGCATACATGATTTTTCACTCCGGAGTACATGCGGAGTGTTTATTGAGGTTCATCTGCCCCAGGACTACTCAAGAGAGGCAAAGAACGGGGTTCGGGAATTCAATAATCCTCCCACAACTTTACTGCCCTACGGAGACATTTCAATTGGAAGAGCTTATCAGAGAAGCCCACAAGGTGGGCCGCCTCTTTCTGCCTGGTTTCGAAATATGTCCTTGAGACGGGCTTGAACAGCAATTTCCCCCCACCTGTGATGGAGCTGAATACGGCTGTTGAGGCAAATTCCGAGGACTATCATGAATCATCCACAAGCCTAGAGGACCTGAACATCGACGAGTTCTTTCACTCTGTGGAGGGGAATATCTCATTGGATATGCTCTATGGTGCCAGCTATGCCCATATTCCGACCGCGGACACAGTCACCGATGTTACGGTTCAAAGTCCGCATGGGCATTTGACCTTGGACCATGGAATAAGTTTGTCGGCTGACGAACCACCGCCAGAACACCTGAAGGTGAACGAGGGACGGTACGTGCAAAGATCGCGACCGATTTTGATGTGCTCCGACTCGCTTCAACAAGTGGTCAATATACATGGCCAGCGAGAAACAATCGAGACCCAGGCGTCTTTGACAGGACTGTTTTTCCGGGAAGATGAATCAGTGTCGACCCCAGGTACGGGCTTAAATATAACTCCCTGCTCGGAGATTACGTGCTACCGCCGAAATTTGTTCAAGGTTCATGCTACTGTGTCAATGCCACAGGTTGGCGGGGACCTGAAAGTGGCAGAGGACCAGTCGACCGAGACTGTGGTTGGTTTATCTGCGCAGATCCGAGCAACAGAGAATCTGAAAGACAGCGCGGTGAATATTGTTCGGGCTACTTCGAAGAATAACGCGTTCAATAATCTCCAACCATTGCCCGTGTCAATTACAATGGATCAAGTTACCTCAGGATCCCCAGTCCTAATATCCTGGGAGAGGCTACAGTTTCGGCACTCTACCGTGAAGGTACCCCGTGCCGCAACACCAAGGCAGCATTATCGGATCATTGTTGAAGTGATAGCTACTCTATCTGGAGGACGGATGGTCTCATTATCACGGTCAGAAAGTCCACCCATTATCGTGCGGGGCCGGTCACCGAAAAGCTATCTCGAACCAAGAGACCCGGTCAGCCAGGTTGTTCCAATGAACCCTGCAAATGTCTATCCTCACCCTGAACCAGTTACTTCGACCCTCCCAGGCAACCCCGGAACGGGTGGAATCGAAACTTTATCGGGAGCTAGAAATGATTCTCACATTGATGGAATGACAGCATCTGCGCAGAGTCCGCACAATACCCCAATCAGCATGCCTGATGAGGAAGTATTCGTGGGGAACTATACATACGTTCCAATGCCAATATCGGATTGGTCGCCTCCAGTCGATGCGGTGTTTGTATGTTTCTTGTCTCGAGTTGTCTTTATACAGATATGCATCGTTCAGGTACTAATGGGTATACGTTTTCGATTAGCGGCCACATAGAGTGCACCACAGAAAGACGACCAATGCTGTTGTTCGTCCCACCACCAAACGGCGGTACTATGTACAGGATGACAACGTTTCCCCGAGTCTATATTCTCGCACCTGAAGATCCTTTCCGTGTTCCCTGAAACCTCACCCGCGCATTCACGGTGTGGTTTTTGGACCCGGCTCGTTGACATTCATTGATAGATATGCAGACCAGAAGACTGCCACTGTGTTAGACACCAGGAGACGATACTGTAAAGGAACGAAAAAGAAATTTGCCATCTGAACCGCTGGATTCCAGTCAAGTTAGCCTCTTACCTACTGGATTAGGTCGTCAGCACTCTTACCAGGCCACAGTTTGTAATTCTGAACTAGGACGCCAGCGAAGTTTGATTCCACTTGACGTTGAGTGAGTTCTAGCCGCTTATAGACACTGTCTGTAGTGGGCTTGGCTAATTGTACAAGGGTGAATAGACCGACAATGGACACCGGGGCGAAAATGAGTTGATCGGCAGTCACTCGAGCCACCGTGCTGGCGAGCCTAGAGGGCAGTTGAATCCGGGCCTGCAAGTGTCGATACCTATTTACCCGATGAATATTGGTGACTATTCTTGAGGAGGGGATTGAGATAGTTTTGAATCAGGGAGACAAACCATACAGCCATCGTGGGACCTAGGGCACAGCCACCTATAGATGTCATAGTTGCCGTGCGATACCAATCATATTTCTTGTCGGAGTTATTATCAGAGTTGGCCATAGCAACGTTCTGAGCAAATATGTCGCCCACAGCGTATAATGCCTGATATTCCGTCAATCGCCACCTCCGTTAGGAAGTGATGCTTATAGTGGAGGGCCTACCGCAGCTGTCGCGCTCTGCGTGCGCAATGGCCGTTTGGTTAGCTGCGCCTGATAAAATATCGTCGCATAGCGCAAGAAGACCATTTTAGTGAACAGGACGTAAGAAGTTGCCGACGGAAGAAGAAAAAAGAAATTGTCTAAATTCACCGAGTATGTATACTGCTGCGAGAACATTTTGTCGTCGAGGCCCACAAGTTTACCGTGACCCCGTTCTCTGTCACCTGCCTATTTAGGGTTATGTGTCGCGAAGACCTGGTTTCCATTTAATCATGAAAAATGGATTCATTCCTCCGCGTGGCATTCTTCTATGCAATGGTACGATGCTGAATTGCTTGGAATTTTACCACGTCCTTGTAAATATAACATCCTTACGCCTGGTCTTTTCCGGGAGACCACCTTTGTGAATATTCTTACGTTCGTTTCATTGGCCACCCATGACCTTTGTCAAGGCCCCCGTTCGGGCCTTCGCCAGCCCCTATTCATTATCCAAGGTCGTGCGACCTTCCAGCACTCAGCATCGATGTCGAATCATGGCAACCATGGCTGACTTGACTGAACAACCTTCAAATAGAGCCGAAGGCTCCATTGCCTCAGCGTTCGCCTCTCTATCCAACCAGTCCATTGACCTTCCCGCACGATTTATTCGCCTAAAACAAGATATCTCGCGAGGAAATGGGGATGCTATCTTGGATGGATGGCACCGGCTGTTAGACCGGGTAGCAGCCGACAAACTAGCGCAGTGGGATTCTCATATGATCCCAGAAATCAAATTCTCCGCGATCAAGTCCAACAATGGCAATCTTCCGGACCATGCCAAGCAAGCTCTGAAGGACCGGGGTACAATCATTGTTCGAGGAATCGTGTCCCCTGAGGAGGCTCTTGCATGGAAGCAACGCATTCGCGATTATGTATCTGCAAACCCTTCCACAGCAGGGTTTCCCGCAGACAACCCACAGGTGTACGAATTGTACTGGTCAAAGTCTCAACTGGAAGCTCGTTCGCACCCCAACATGTTATTGACTCAAACTGCACTCAATCAAGTTTGGTCTGCTAAGCCTGAAGATCCCGTTGATACCTCTGTGCCTATTACATACTGTGATCGTTTGCGCATTCGCACTGTATGTGAACCCGAATCTTTTATTATTTCTGCCCATCTTACTAAACTGTTTCTTAGCCGGGTGATAAGTCATTCAACCTGGGACCACACCTTGACGGTGGTTCACTGGAGCGCTGGGAAGACCCAGAGTACCGGAAATGTTACTCACAAATTCTTCAAGGCGAGTGGGAGAACCACGATCCCTTTGCGATAACTCATCGTCTCAAGGCGACGGTTGACATGTACCACGGACCCGGTGGCTGCTCTGCCTTCCGTTCCTACCAGGTCCGTTGAATCTCCTGCCCTCAAGGTTCATATGCTAACTAAGTAATGCACAAGGGGTGGCTCTCCCTTTCTGATTGCTCTCCTGGTGCTGGTACTCTCCGAGTGATGCCCGATCTCCTCGCTTCAACTGCATACACCCTGCTCCGGCCCTTTGTCTGCCAGGATACTTCAGGAGCATGGGTTCTTGACCAAGGAACGAGCACCTTCCATGGAGCCGCGATGGGCGCTGGACAAGAGTTGATGGCTGATGGACACGCTCATCTATACTCTAAAGGATTTGTCTCCATCCCTCGTGTCCAACCCGGCGATGCGGTCTTCTGGCACTGTGATGTCGCTCATATGGTAGAGAACGAACATCGCGGAACCGGTGACTCTAGCGTGCTGTATATCCCAGCTGCACCACTGTGCGAGGTTAATAGCTACTATCTGAGGAACCAGCGGAATCAATTTCTCCAAAGCCGACCGCCCCCTGACTTCCCTGGCGGTGTCGGCGAGAGTCAGCACAAGCACCGAGGCACTCTGGACGATTTATCCGATCGAGGCAAACATGCTATGGGCTTCTTGAAGTTTGAGGCTACTATTTCGGGCTCCCCGGGGCAAAAGGAGGCTGCACGTCTAGCGAACGCGATCTTGGGATTCGACGTTGACTAAGTGATGCTATGGACCGTGGAGTTTTCCGTTTCAGCATTGCCGAGAACAGGGAATAAATTGCCTGTTATAAGAGCATTTCAGTTCTAGTACTAAACATAGGAGTTATTGATGCCTTCGCCTCATAGTATCTCGTCGTAATAATAAGCCGTATGGTTTCTGCATCCTCTGTAATCTTTATCAGCATCATCGCTTGGCAATCACCCAGTTTCAACA